ATTTTAAATTTTATTATCAACTAGCGACTCACCCTCGCTCCAGTCGGATTCGTCCCTGGTTACTTTTTAACGTTTAGTGTAGATTTCTCAGAGATGAGATACTTTCCGCACTAAAAAGTATCCTATATGTTGACCCGGATAACCAGCTATCATCATACCAAATTTCATCAAAATCTGTCCAGTGGTTTTCTCGTGATGCGTTCCCAGACAGACAGTCAGACAAAAATTCAGATTCAGTCTATTATGTATCGTTTAGCCTACATATTATAATAATAACAATTTCAATAAGATTTCCAAAAACATATTTAATGTACACATTTGATTCAGTTAGAATTTTATTACGTGTATATAGATGTATATAGATTTATATCCGTATAAAAATAACGTTGTGATCAAAATTCAGTCCGGAGCTTTCATTCGTGTGAACAATTCACTTTTTTTAAATATATTTATTTCTATTTCAAAATATTTTATCATAAATCTAAAATAAAAATTCAAAGTTATTTTAATCATACATTCAACCAAAGAGGTGCGATATATATAAAATCCCATTATAACGCCTGTGTTACGCCAAAATTAGATTAGATGAAAAAAATAAATTTTATTATACATTTTTAAATGTTTATGAAACTGGACTTCCTGTATTAAAAATGCTTTAATCGGAAATGTTACGCAGTCGGGTTTTTTTTATTTTTATGATATTTTTTTTATATTCTTATTATATGGTATTACAGGCTGCTTTTATTTGGGGAATATTATATTTTATAAAAAATCACTAGCATTGCCCGCGGCTCCGCCCGCGTTCAGATGACCAAAAACCAAATTCTTAGGTTTTACATATTAGTATGTATACTCTTACATTACAGTTTTTGTATTTTTTCTCAGAAATGAGATATTTTTCCGCGGTAAAAAGTATCCTTTATGTTGACCCGGATAATCAGCTATGACCATACCAAATTTTATCAAAATCCGTCCAGTAGTTTTTCTGTGATGCGGTAACAGACAAACAGACAGAAATTCTAAAAACTATAGATTCGGCCTCTGTATCGATAATAATGTCTATTTCAATAAGATTTTCCAAAAAATATTTAATGTACAGATTTGGCTTAGTTACAATTTTATTATAATGTATAGACTTAAGCACGTCCTGAGCTTAAGCGAAACTGTAGCCGATGGCTTGCCATCGTTAAGAGTCATTAACATATTTAATTACTTATAGTAGGGGAGCCTAAGAGGGGATTTTCGTAACCTCTTTTATGTTAATCTGCCGCGCTCGAGTAACTACAGTTATTTAATATGTAAATAAGAACGTAATAAAGCAAATGTCCTCAATTAGACTTTGGAATGAGCTTCCAATTGAAATAAGAATGTCGAAGTCGGTGAGCATATTTAAAAAACGTCTCAAAAGACACTATCTATCACAGTAGGGTTATTCTGTCATTAGTGCCGTACTATGTAATTTGTTTATGCATAAATATATTCATATATAGACATTATTTTATTATTATGTATATGTATGTTATGTATTTATAATAAAAATATATATGGTAAAACAAATATTTTATATATGTAAATTTTTATGTATGTTTATTTATATTAAGTTTTAATGATTCGCACTTTATGCACCTTTCCGCTCACTTATTTTCTTATATCCTTTACCTGTAAGAGATCACTTTTAGTGATAAGGCCGCCTTTGCACATCTCTTTGATTGTATAATTAATTTTTTTATGTTAATGTACTATTTTCTTGTGCAAGAAAGTGTTATAAATATTAAGAAAAATATCTAGTTCTTAATAGTTAGTACACACATCGCAATCACAACTGTCGAAGCAAGGTTCTATCATTTATTCAATTATTTATTCAAACGGTCAAGCAGGCAATGGCAATTACTTTTATAGCTACACTGTCGATTACAATTGACAATTATTTGGTCAAATTAGACATAAAAATAGTGATCAATTAACAAAAACTCCGACAGAGCTGAATTTTTGTAAAGACCTTTGGTACACCAGTAGAAATTAAGTGGCAAAAGTCCCCATCGATCCCTATGTGTGCTAAAAAAGTAATTCAAGGGCAAAGGTCAAAATTATTATTTATTTTTTCGATTTTTCTCGAAAACATTAAGTTTTATCAAAAGTATAATCCAGGCAAAAATTGTAGATCATAAAATTATCTATAAAAATGGTCGTAATATTTTTTTTCCAACAATCACCATTTCTAAGATATCGCGATTCTAAAAGTTAAAGGTGTTACATTCTACATTTGAAATGTCTATTTTGATCGGATACAAATATAAATACAAAGAAAATAATAGTATCTTATAAAACAAATTCTCATTTTTTATGTTTTTGTAGATATATGACATTATGAATCTTTATTATAATTTGCACATGCAAGCACATTTAAAATTCATAAATCACTGATTATGACAGATTAACATTAAAAATCTTTATCTAATATACATAATAAATATTTCATACTTTCATTTCAACTTTCGCCGAGCCGCTTAGTACGATATAAAGCTTATTATTATGATATTACTTTAAAGAAATCTAGATTTTCTAATATAGATGTAGAGTAGTGTGAACTGTGAGTAGTAACAAGAGTGGAAGCCCATTGGCACATAAAATGTCAAACTTGTTCAGTCTTCACGCATTGTAGCGGCTTCGAACCCTGGGTCACTCCTCTGAGATCTTAATTTACTAAACATTTCCAGCGTGCATGGTCATTGGCCATGCATATAATCAATTTTAATTGTATTGAAGAGCATTAATACCAAGTTTCAAGTAATTCTGATCATAAATATTTTTTTGAGTTGTATTATAACGTGTTTTTCCCTGGGAATTAGATAATGTCCCGCGGTTAAAAGCCTATGTCACTCTCCAGCCCTCTAATTATTTCCACACAAAAAATCATGCCAATCCGTCACTCCGTTCCGACGTGAAAGAAAGACAAAAAACAAACACACCTTCCTATTTAAAATATCAAAGTATGGAAGTATGGATATACGCTAAATACTAATATATGCTAAATATACTACATGCTATATATATGCTAAATACTAATACGGTCAAGTCAAGGGTAGCATTGCGAGAAAACCTTTACGTCTGAGGGATCCAAACCAGTTTTATAATATAGACGTGTGAAGTCCCTAAACCCGCATTTGGCCGATGGCCGTAGAAGACTACTATTACGTAATCACTATTCATACAAAGAAAATGTTAAAAAATAATTACCAATTAAATTACTATTCTGAAGTCAAGGACATTATATAACGCATTGCTTATTATTATAGTCTATCATTATTAGGGTCAAGACATGCATAAGACAAGACCTAAAATTAATGAAAGTGGTAATTATAAAGTTTAGAACAGATCCAGATTTCATTTACATATATTTATTGTTCCATTGTTTTAGAAGATTCTGTGAAGATTTACAATGTATTTGAAACATCGTTTTTGAATAGGTAGATTCCACATAAAAAAATTTCATCCCCATTTTTACCCTCTTAAGGGATTATTTTTGAGATAAAAAGTATCCTATGTACTTCCCAGGGTCTCAATCTATATTCTTACCAAATTTCATCTAAATCGGTTCAGTAGATCCGGAGATTACCTCCTACAACGTCACAAACTCACAAACACACAATTCACAAACTTTACCTCTTTATATTTTAGATTTATTATAGAAGATTAGTATAGATTACTAGGTACAAATATTACAAATATTTCTACAATACAAGTTTAATACTACTAATTACAATAGTACAATTCGAGTTCATATTCGAGTTCATATTCGAGAAGGTGCATGAAATTAAAATTCAGAATACATACTACTTAAATTATTAAGATGTGTTTCTTTTGATACTGTTGGAGGATGCGCTTAAGATGAAATTTGCTTGACGTTTTTCCAACAGATATCATCGAGCAAGTATTTTTATAAGCCCCTAGTAGCCTTAGCCCATTCAAAAGTTTGTTTTTCAATTTTATTTAGGATCTCTAACAAAAGACATTACATTTAAAAGTCTTCAGAAAAGTGTGTTTCTTATGAATTGCTACCCTACTATAATCAATTATAAGCCCAATATATCAAACGATCCATCACCGTTTTATAACATCAATTATGAGATAAAAATTCGTCAACTGAGTGATCGTAATCTAACTACCAGACAGACCAGTCAGTCGTGGGTCATATCTCGAATATATAAGACGTCGCGTGTGCTGTTATGTTTGTGTTGTATAAAACTTCTCGATAAAACTAGTCTGTACGCGGAAACATTTATAAAACGCGAAAATACGCAAAAGTAGAGTTAGTGTTTACTAAGGAACGCTTTAGTTGTGTATTAAAAAGTGCTCTAATTGTAGAATTTCTTCTCAATTCATTAAAATGAAAAGAAATTCTTTATTTTCAGTAAAGTTCATAATGTGAATGCACTTTGGATATAACCAGTTCTGAAGGTTTCGATCACTTAAACTTAATATAACTTTAATAAGCTATTAAATAAAATAATAGAAACCAATGATATTTAAATACTGTTGAGTTTCACTCAATAAAACCTGTTCTAGGACCAGAAATAACTTGTGCAAAACACAATATTTATCATCATCTTCATTTTTTGCTCAACAACAGATGGTTATAATATCGTGGCACTAATATAAGAATATTTTAATGAAACAACAACTTACATATAAGTTATATACAAGTGAAGGATTTGGGTAAAACCCTGAACTAACGAAATAAATAAACAAAAAGACTGTTTGTATATTATTATATTCAACATCAAGAAGATCTAAAGCGAATAACGTATATATATGCGCTATATTCACAGGTGCGGAATTCCCTCATTGAGTAATTTACGTATTGTCAGTTCGTACGTATACATTGTATAAAACTTTTAATTTGCGTGACTCGAATACTGGTCATTTAAAATGATTTCAGTGTGACAGAGCCACAACCGTAACAAACTGTTTTTGTAATAGTAATCCGGAAACGATAAGAAATGTTGAAACTGACTATTTTGTTAGTACTTGTGTCTAACAGTGTATCTGACCCTTGTAATGATGAGGGTAGTATCGACATAATTGACGGAGTCCATTCTAACGGTGAAATAGTGCATGATGGTCTTAAATATAAACGTGATGAATATTTTGTCGATAAAAATGTCACGAGAGACTGTTTGTGCGAGAAAAAAATTTGTATCAACAAATGTTGTCCACTCGGCTACGCTTATTATAATAAAAACTGCACAAAAGTGCAAGAGTCGTTCAATCCTACGATAGTAGACAAATATTTAAATGTGCAGAATATAAATATCACAGATCATTTCCATTTTAAGCCTACTAAACCAGTATGCATCGATGAAGAGGTGCGAATTCGTGCACTACAAGTGTTCAATAAACTCCTTATTAGAACCGTAAGTAATTTTAAAAATATGTATTTTTGAAAGGGTGTCTTTTTCCTGTTTTCGAATTTCATAACTATTTATTTAGAACACACTTATTAATTTAAAGAATTTTAATATGATTTGAAATAAACTTTACCTCATCACATGTCCAAAGTAAAATAGCAATATAAAATATTGGATTTTAGTCATATTATTATGTTTTATTTTATATACTAGGTATCTATAATACTGACTATCATCCTCATTATGAGAGAGGCTACCACTTTCCTTCCTGCTACAAAATTAATGTATGATACACGCATTACACACACATTATAAAACAAAGTCCTCCGATGCGTCTGTTTGTTTGTCTGTTCGTGATAAACTCCACAACTATTACACCGATTTTCATGTTGTTTTCACCAATGGATAGAGTGGTTCCCGAGGAAGGTTTTAGTATATAATATGTTAAGTTTTTGTATACATTGACTAAAATATAACAGATTTGTTGAAGGTGTCGGAAAAATATAAACCGTCTGGGAGTTTTCAACGAAAACGCTGCCTAAACTTTTTGAGAATATATAACAAAATAATGTATGGTAGAATTGTGTATACTATATAGGTCTACAGAAAAGTCCGCGATGGCATATACCTATTCCTTAAGGATACATACTATATATGTATCTTTACATAGTATAAAATGAAGTCACTTCCGCTGTCTGTTCGCTTAGATCTTTTAAACTACTCAACGGATTTTAATGCAGTTTTCAGCAATAAGTAGAGTGATTCAAGAGGAAGGTTTATATGTATAATACATGTATATTTTAGTATAGCAAAGCCGATAAATTCAAAATTTTGTATTTCATACTAAGCGTTAAAACGTACCTAGGGACGAACCCGAGCGAAGCGAGGGTGAGTCGCTAGTTAGGTATATCTTCGTGAACCTGCTAGTTATACTTGTCGAATTTCATATTATTTGCCTCACATGTTGTATGTACATTTTAACGAATCTTAATGTTACAACTTTTAAACAAGAATCATTTTTAAGTAGCAAATACCCATGCCTAAAACCACTACATACTTTATATGAGACCACGTGAAACGTATTCTTATCTTTAAATCCGAAACTAAACATGTAAAAAAGTTCATGTACAATGACGACGAACTCTTAATTCAAGATAATTTCTTATTATTCTAAAGACAAATTCTTCAAATTTTATAGAAAAGTTATAAAATAATGAAAATATGATTACTAAATAGCGAATACTACTCGTATTTTTAATAACATACATGTTATTAACAAAAGAAAGTGTCTAATTTCTCCAGCAAATACTAGGTCTTATAAAACCTGTTTGCAACCTGTAACGGAAACCAAGAATCTGCGAAGCGACTTTATTTCTTCTTTCTATTAAGTTTCTATTCTTTTGTGATACTTTTTATTTATTTATTTGTGCTTAATCTTAATCATATCTCTTGGCTACTTTACCTGTATATGTAATTTTTTTTGAGCAGTTTAGCAAATTTTGAGGACATACTTGTATTTTTGGCCTTCTTCGGAAAGGAAGAAGCACTCAATTCGGGATATGTTTTTGCTAATTAAACTTGACATTTGGGAAACTATTTTGTTACGTAGGTCCTTATTCTTAAGAGATTACCTTAAAACTTTTCCAGCCTTTAATATTCTAGTAAATGAAAGTTATTAATTAATAAAAGCTATCGATAGTTTCAAATAAAACGATCTTTTCGGATTATTTCGCGGATTTATTTTGATTTTTGGTTCCTGATGTTTCGAATGATTTACAGCAGTTTCTTTTTAAGCTAACATAGGTTAAGTATTTTGTATTACTAACTCTTAGAATAGATAAATTGTATATGTGTTTTCGTTTCATCAATTTTGTGTGTAATTATGAGTTTTTGCCTGAAATAAAGATTTATTATTATTATTTACAGCAATCACGGTTACGGGAGAGATTAAGGTTTTAGACATCTCAAAGACGTTACAATTATACTCGTTACAAACAGTGCCCACCCACAATTTCTTTTTCAAAATCATTTTCGTAAAATTGTACTGTAGTGAATGTGACAGAAACAATATGAACCAAAGCTAGTTTTTAATTCAGATTACCAGCACAATAAAAATAATTCATTTAGGTTTTCGAGTAATGCGCAAACAGACAGACAGTTTCTAAATTATCGATATATTATATACAAACAACTTTACTAGTATATTTCATTACCCTAGAATAAGTATCAAAATAAAAAAGGATATTTTTTTCAAGGTGACATTTTAGATTTTTTATGTATTCATATTGGTTAGCTTGAAAAGATTCCCAAAACTATTGTCTGTTTTTTAATCTCAGAGACAAAACTGACATTACGTGGGTTGCTCGTTTTTCACAATTCGTAAATAGTGATGTGCCACTATCGAAAAATAACATTAATAAAATCAAGTGTCGTTTTTTTATAATAAGTTAACCTGAAATAATGTGTAGGTATTTATTTGAAACGTAATAATACAAAATTAATAATGTAAATTTAAATCTAATAATGTGAATTTTAATGATACGCTTTGGAATATAAAACTTTAACGCGAATCGTCTAATGAAGATAAAAAGTTACGAGTCAACAAACTGGTATCGTAGGTACAACACTGCACAAAAGAGCTGACAACATTATTTGTAAATTTGACATTTGCATGTGTCAATTGAGTCTCTGAGATTAAAAAACAGACTATAGAAATCATTTAATTCATTATAACAAAATCACATGTGCCTACTATTTTATATAGTATTTTAACTTTTTCTGTTATCATCACTTATTTTAAAAATTTATGTGTTTTTTCTTGCACAGACTGATCTTATTATATAAGAGTCAAAATGTCATTTAATTATTATTTAACAAATTAATATACATATTAGTCTAAAGACCATCTAAATAATTACAAAGTAATGTCTTCTTACTTAATAATTATAATAATTACTTTTCATTAGAAAGGTAAATTCATAATCATCCTAAAAGCAATAATTATACCCGTAGGGGTGCAATTTTTATTTAACACTTATATGCACATATGACAACATCCTTGAGGTATAAAAAGAATTGTTAGTATCGATAGGTATGAGGTATAAAAAATAATTATAAAAAGAAAAAACCCGACTGCGTTAGACACTAACTAAAAACATAACAAATCGTAGAAATAACATAGTATTATACAGTTGGAGACATATGTACATAAGTATATACTAATTGTTACGAGTCTTGCTACGTTTACGCGGATACGTTACTACGTTTCGCGAATTTATTTAGATTGTTAGTTCCCAACCAACAATTAATCCGCGAAAAAATCCGAAAAGGTAGGTTCCTTAAATTGTCTGTAGATACACACTGAAGATATTAGCGTTTGTTTTTAAATAAAAGTATAGGATTTCAATTTCTTTTAATAAGAAAAGCGATATATGTATGTATGTATATGTAACGAATTAATGAGCTAAAAGCAGGAAATACCTGTTGATTTATAAAGTAAAACAATACATCGTTATTTTTAAGTGCCACGCACTATTAGGAAGTGATAATAAATATCGTTAAAAATTTACATTTACCAACATAGGAACAATCATAATCTATCGAATAATACATCAATGAATTATGCCAAAAATATTTTTATTTCAATCATATTCAATTTCAATCACGAATCTCAATGTTCAAATAAGTGCTCTTACTGATAGAAGAATATGTATTTGGCGATTGTATAACGTCATCATAGCACTAGCTAGCTGCCCTTACATATATGTACCATACATTGTGCTGTCCAAAATTTAATTTTATTTGAGATTTTTAATTTATACTAAAATTTTCAGTTTTTCGGAAGCTCCGGGTAACTTCACCCATTTTTCAAAAAAGCTATTGCTTCGACACTTTGCATCTTTCGGTCCTTTACGATGCCAACAATAATTATAATGAACGTGTAAAATTTTAAGTTTAGCAAATATAAAAGTATAAATTGGTATTGTATTTATCATATACAAATTTTAAAGCTTCTTATTAAAGCTTGTTTTAACTTTACTTTCAGGACGGAAGTCTTTATATAGAAGTGCCCAACAAAATACCGCCATATTTATTACGAAATCCGAACAAATACTGTGTGGATACTTTTATTTTGGAAGACGGCAATGGAATCAAGACATCAACCTTCGACGCCCTGGTTTGCTTCACCGAAGATGAAGATGATGCGCATTATTTTCTTAGTTCTTCTTGTAAGTTCATTCATACACTAACTAGCAGTACCAGCGTCTTCACCCGTCTTTAAACTTCCGATCGCTAGCAAGCTTCATAGGACTGCCCGCTGGTCTAATCTGAAGATTGCTTGAAAATTTCATCAAAATTGCTCCAGCCGGTTTATAGTTGATAGGGAACACACATACACACATTAATTTTTATATACATACTATACGGCTAGGATTAGTTAAAATTTAGTTAAAAAATAATGAACGATCGCGCGTGTTTGCCCGCGCGGCTGGCAGCATTACAGACATAGCTCTGCTGCTCCCACTTCCAAATTTTATTAAAAAAAAATCAAATATGGCAATAGCACTTCTGTAATCGTAAGGAATATTTAAAGAAAAAGTTTCATTGAAATTTGTTACATAGATTTTTTGTTAAATCCGTTCAAAAATACCTACCAAGAATTTTATATATTTAGTCTATACTAATAATATAAATTTCTTTCAATTTTCAATATCAAAATTCAAATATCTATGTATTTGATATTTATGTTAATGTAAGAAATAATATGACATATCTAACTTTACATTTCTACGAGATGACGAGAAAAAAACGAAAGAACTATGAGGCGGTAATGTATTAAAGCTTTGAATAGAATATAGGCCAGAGATACTCGTATATCGTAAAAATTACGGTTATATATTATTTAACTTTCAAATCTCAAAACACTTTGCCGTTTGCCGCAATAGCCTGTACTTTTTATTTTGGCTTTGACTGTCTGTCTTGTTCTTTTGTTACTTTTTTAAGACTAGGTCTTTGTCATCAATGACTTGTGCAGAAACAAATAGAATCCTGCAGACATGGGATTAATTTTTTAAAGACAAAATAACCTAATTTTTTGTACTAATTATGAAAGACTACGTGATTTTAGACTGGGATTTATCTATACAAAAATTACCTTTTTATCTCTCCCGTTACACGTACATATGTTATATAAACAATGCCTTTTAAGTACCTACTCTACACCTACAGACTTTTTACTTTGGCGTGACAATATGATCTTTTTTTGTTCTTTTTTAAGCTATTGCATAGCCTCTATCGCGGGCCTTAAGTGTGGGGACCTAATCCAGAAATTCCGTAACGAAAAAAACCTGACACCCCCCACTCCGACCGGCACAGCGGTGATACTTTTTAGTTTTTCCATCTATCGATAAATACCAGAACTTTTAATGACTTTTTGAAATATCACGCTTGTCTCTTTAGTTCAGCAACCCGCCTTTAGGTGGCATTGCATGTTGGAGAAAGTATATAGGTGTATAGGTATTTATCATCTATGTACAACAGTGAATATCTGTACTCGTATAATTTGTGTACAAAGTGTTTTAAATATGAATAAACAAAGTGCATTTATTAATGAAGAAAGTCAAGGAAAAAAATACTGCATTAATAAAATAAATAAATAATTATAATTGCATAAGTTGATAAAAATTGCTATGCAATAGCTTTACCGCGGCAGTCTCCGAGTGCCACATTTAATTTTTTTAATTTGATTCAATGTCGCAAATATGCCTATATTAATTACTAGCGACTCACCAAGTTGATTTACGTCCCAAGTTGATTCCCCATACAAACTTCCATCCCCATTGTCACCCCTTTAAGGGATGATTTCCGGGATAAAAAGTATCCTATGTCCTTCCCAGTCTCAAACTATGTTCTTACCAAATTTTATCTAAATCGGTTCAGTAAATCCAGAGATTATCCCCTACAACGTCACAAACTCACAAACTTTACCTCTTTATAATATTAGTATAGATTATCTATTATAAAATACATATATTAATCGGGCGTCGCTAACATATTAACGTATATTTTTTTCAGGTATGTTAATATCATGCGTGTTTATCTTAGCGACGGTGACAGTATACGCGTGGCTTCCAGAACTACGTAATCTGCATGGCCTGGTTTTAATGGCATACTTAGCAAGCCTTTTTGCAGCGTTCATTAATTTAGGCACCTTGCAAATATTGGTGTCTTTAAACAACATCATGCTTAGCGCCTGTATTACAATGAGTAAGTACATTTTTTATTACCTATATTTTAAGTGTTTGTACCGGCTAGTTTTATTAGTTCGTATAAATTATTGTCTAAATCGAATAACTGGTTTATTGCACTATCGACTTTATATCGCTTCGCTATTTACTTTAAAAAAAACCGATTTTTTTTTTTCTATATATGCATGTATATATGTACATAAAACTTAGAAATTAAACTTTGTTTTTAAAATAGAGAAAAAAAACTGTCTACTGTAAAGTACATTAAGTATTGGTCGTGTGAACAAATAAGCACCAAGGTGACGATATGTATTAAAAAAAAGTTGACACGCAAAACTACCGTGAATATTAACAAAAAATGAAACTGCGATACCCAGTTAGATAAAAATATGTTTCATAAGCTTTATAGAAAATTCCTAAAAGCTTTCAATTATTTGATATCCACGCTTCTGTTACGTATATTTTGTAAATGGATTTGTTATCTCTTAATTATGTGATAGCGGATTTTAGATTAGCAGGTTCGGAAAAAGGCTATCCAGTTTATCTATACTAATATATAAAGAGGTAAAGTTTGTGAGTTTGTGAAGTCGTAGGGGCTAATCTCTGGATCTACTGAACCGATTTAGATGAAATTTGGTGAGGAGATAGTTTGGGACCTTGGGAAGGACATAGGATACGTTTTATCCCGGAAATCATCCCTTAAGGGGGTGAAAATGGGGATGAAAGTTTGTATTTGGAAGCAAGCTAGGGACGAACCCGAGCGAAGCGACGATGAGTCACTAGTATATTAACTGTCTCGGTGGTGTAGTGGCTAACATGCACGGCTGCACACCCAGGGGTCCTGGGTTCGAGTCCCGGGTCGGTCCAAGTTTAGTTACTGAGTCTTTCTGTATAGTAAGCCTCAGTAACAGCCCGGAGTTGGGAAGTTGGCGGTGTTTCACCCCCGTGCTTAGGAGAGCACGTAAAGCCGTCGGTCCTGCGCCTTAACTCTCACCGGTCGTGTCGAGCGGTCGTCCCACTAGAGTATGAGAGTGACAGGAATAGAGAGTGCACGTTGTGTCGGCGCGTACACTTGTGCACTATAATATCTCCTGCGCAATTGGCTAGTCTTAATGAGATTGGCCGCCGTAGCCGGAATCGGTCAGGAGAACATCACAGTATATTATGCATTTACAATGTTATTTTTACTGATGTTATCCTGTTAACCTTTTCGATCGTATGTACGTACGGATGTACATATGTATGTATGAACGTACATATGATGTAATAAGAGATGACAGGATCACACAGGATGCCCTATTAGGATGGGGAAGGTTTAGTCTGCTTTTCAGTGGTGGTACTGGCTTTTAGCCGTCCACAAAACCTATTTATTATGCAGGTTGTATGCGTAAATTCATTTTTCGACATCAAAAAAAGTATTCTTTATACGTGGCATTGATTAAATGTGGGAGTGATATAAAGTTAAATTTTTAGAATGACGTCTGCGATAAAAAGACATTTTAGTATATTTTGTTATTGTATCAATATAGATATCTTAAAAGGCAGCGATAACTTTTTTGACTACAATGAAAACAAGTCTATGACTTTTATTTCATTAAAATGTAGGTTAATAACATTGTAAATCACAATCAGTTACGATCGTTTAGATTCATTAGTGTAAAATAATAATTAGAAGTATGTTAAAAAAGAATTATGATTCAATTTGTCAATTTTAGTAACAAAAATAGTTAATAAACTTAGTTTTCTTTTTAATATTATATATAGATAGTTTATCCACGTGTTTGTTTTTTTGTATGATCCAATTCCATTTTTTTATGAAAAGACTATTTAAACAACTAGATCTAAAAAACTTATAATATAATTATAAATATTTTAAGCAAAACCGGTAATAAATATATAGCAAGGAGCGGAAACATAATCATTATTATGACGTCTGTGTACGTAATAAGTATATATTTTGACGTACAAAAATAATTTTGTATCAGCTATGTGTATAACGAGACTTTGTGTCATTCGACCTTTTAATCTTCTATTAAAAATTTCTCTCTTATATTCAGGGCTAAATAAATTTCATAAGTTTTGGAAAGTGCCCAATTATACTGGCGCCACACTATCAATGAAAAAATCGGGTATCAGCTGATGTTATTATGTTAATTTTTAAATATGTTTGTGTTTTAATCGTAAAAATTAGGCAAATTAAAAAAAAGTAAATAAATTTGTTTACGTAAAATAAAAATTGAGTTGGATTTGTGTAAGGAGGTTTTGTAATACTGTCTTTTTTTTTTTGTTAAAACTCTAGGTCCAAAACTTTAGAGATATTACGTGTACCTACATTTTTTTTGTATATTTTAATTTTGTCCAATTTTCGTATGTTTTCTGAAACAAATACTGTGAACTCTAAATGATATAAAATATTGCCCACAAAAACTCGCATTTAAAACGTGACATAATTAATACAGTTGAGTAATTCGGAGAAAATAAAGTCACTCAAATAATATACGATGGGCGGATCCTAAAAAGGTTTTTCTCTTCAGGGATGAAACCCTACAAAGTAATTCTTTTACATAATATTAATATATGATCTGTGATAATATGTACCAAATATATAGGATATAATTTTTAATGAAACTTTTTTAAAGGATTTTCCTTTTATAATACCATCTAACATGTAGATTATATAAATTCTAAGTTATTACCTTATGATACAATTATTGATTGTACTTTACTAATCAATTCTACACATTATGATAGAATGACTCATAAGAACAACACGCTCAGTGATTATAACAACTACGCGTGCTTACGCGTGTACATAGTACTTTGTTTATGTACGATTGTAAATTTCTATTAACAACTCAAATTGTACGCTTCGACTCAAAACGTAAATATAACTCAGGACGATATTTCTAACTCAGGTCTTAATTTTCACAAGCAATTAATACCTAAATTGCAAAAGTTGAGATGGAAACAGAACGGTTCAAGGTTAGATGGCTAGGAAATAAAACTTTATTCTAGTCACTAAAGTTCTACCTCTCCAGATCTTCCAAATGTAGACTTTCAAATATACTGTTTATTTAATCTCGATGTTATTTTGGCGGTGTTTTAATGGATTTGGTAATTTTTGGGGATCCCCTTGGAAAAGTTACCGAAATTGGAAAATTCAAGAAAATCTGAAAGTGCTTTTACAGAGAGATATTATTATGTAGAAGTAATACACTCTTGCTTCGCTCAGGTCCTAACTTCTGCATTAATCAAAAATATTTCTTTACATCATTTGCAGTAGAAGTCCATAGAGTCTAAGCACTAAAAAATGTTTAATAGACAACCCATTGTCTTATCTTTTTTTCGGTAACAAGAAGATTTATTTTCCGCTAAAAGAATTGGCGCGGCAATGGCGAATAGTGGAAAGTAGTTTGCATTCTAGTTACAATGCATTCGTTTTATAGCCTATCAAATGTTTACCTACTTTCACATTTAAAACATTAATTAGCGTTTGGTAATATTTCTTGTCTTGTAGGTAACTAAATAAAATGGATCAAGAAGCTTCTCCAAAAATGGCGTCCTAGTGATATTATGAGAGCCTTTGGAAACAAAAAGGCAGATATTTTTTAATATTTCGGCGCGGCCCTGCAACACACACCTACTTTCTTCTAATTTGTTCTACGTTTGCTCTCCAAAAAACACCAAATACACGCTTAATAACTCCAATTCTTAATTTGTCGATTGAAATTAATGATTCGCTCCTTAGATTATTATTTTTGTATTGAGGTTATCAATGGTCATTTTATTTCAATTAAGAATCGATAAGGAAGCGATGGACCAAAAATGGGTTTTTTTGTTTAGTATCTAATAACGAGCTTCAGTATTACCTATAATAAAAATGTGGAAACAGATTTTTATATAGTTAAGTAAGTATATACATATCCCCCCAACGTGCGTTCACCTTATCGTGGTGGGGGGGCTCAATAGTACCCGGCAATACAGCCGGTCGCGAAGCCAAGAAACGCACAGGGAGGTGGCCCACTTCGGTGGGCGGTGGGAGGCGACCCTCTTCGGAGGGCGATGTACCATGCGGGTTGCTCCTGGTACTTCTCTGATAGCAGAGTGGACCTTGGAGCAACCCCATGGTTGTTGTGGTCTGCTTCGGCAGACCTGCCGTCGGGGCGTCGTAGTTGAATGCGTAAGCGATCCTGCGACACCCCATTAAGACGGGGGACGGCTTTGTTGGGTTTTAGTGGGTTGTACTGGCTTTGCCGGTGAGTCCCATACCTCGTGCGTAAATGCATTTCCCAACGTTAAAAAAAACCGGCTAATACTTTGAGGCAATCAAATCTGTAATTCTGGCGAAATATATACATATATATGTATCATGAAGAAGTTAATAGTAATAAATATAAGGTGAGATACCTTGTATTTATTAACCCTACAGAAATAGTGTAAGAAAACAGTATAAAACGTATATTTTGTCCTAATAACGAGATTAAAGCAAAAATCTACCAATAAACAAGAACTGAACTTATATCCTACGTTATAGCATATAGTGCCGCCACACCACACCACACCACATCAGACGGTCTTTATACCTTTGAATGAGTTCTAAAACAGTAATCATTCATTCTTCTCTCATATAGCTCGTTATATTTTATTTTCTCGACAAATCTCAAAAATCATGAGAGAATTAAAATGCCTTTTATTAAAATAACTAACTACTGTATTATATACTGTAGTAAAATGTAAAATGTATTTTAAATAATACGAAAACTTCAATTTTATGTGTGCAATCATTTTTCCAAAATTATACTTTAAGATCTGATGTCATTTTGTTCCAAAGTCTTGAATTAAATTAAAAAAGATGAGGAAAACTAATAAAATTGATATGTCAGGTAACGATAAAGATACATTTGACATTTAGCGAATGCAAGTTTTTGGAATTTTTCATACTACCTATAACTGGCATATAGGCATTAGGCATGACGCCTTCGTATTGCGTCAATTATAATGTTTCCTCCAGCACGAATT